AACAATTTAAACATAAATACCGCACTCCATGTATTTACTATTCACACTAAGAAAAAAGTCAAATATAGGTATGTGTGAAATAAATTAATTTATTAATCACTAATCCTGTGTATTTCATTGGAGAAAAAGGCTACTATAGACAATTGGTGATCCTTACTTAAATTCATATATCATACACTTAGAAAAAAATCACGATATATACAGATACTATTTACATCCACTAGTGATCCCTTCATCAATTCATATATCATACACATAGCAAAAGTTCATGATATATACTAATACTATTTACAAATATTTACAGTCCTAATATCCCATATATGCAGGGCTGAGATTCCATAGGTGGATCCACCATCTGTTGTGGTAATGGTAGGCCTTAGAAAAAATACAAAAAAAAAACAGAAAAAAAGAAAAAGAAAAACAATACTACTATACTATAATATCAGCATTTAGAGTATCAACACTTAGACCTTCTGTTACCGTGATGAACAGGATTTTTTAACAAGTCTAATATGACTTGTGTTCATTTATTTATTATTTTTATTTTTATATAAATAATCTAATAATTTGAATCATAGCAATTTTCTAATCAGACTTCAAGGAACTCTGTAGACATATGTGGACCCTTTCCTTTAGTTTTGTTTTATATATATATATATACAAAACAAAACTAAAGGAAAGGGTCCACATATGTCTACAGAGTTCCTTGAAGTCTGATTATATAAAATGATTGTGTATGTATATATATATATATATATATATATATATATATATAATGATTGTATGGCTTTATGCAAATCAACCATGTGTAGTTATATTTACTAAAATTGCAATGTCCTTGATACTTTCAATACCGCTTTGAGGTATTGTTATGATTTGCATTTTTTTTATAATTTAATCAAAATTATTTGAACACATAAAAAGTATATGTAATGACAAGAAGAGATTACAGAAGCTAATGGTGATATAAATTTAAATACCGTATATACTCGAGTATAAGTCGACCTGAATATAATTCGAGACCCCTAATTTTACCCCAAAAAACTGGGAAAACGTATTGACTCGAGTACAAGACTAGGGTGGGAAATGCAGCAGCTACTGGTAAATTTCTAAATAAAATTATATCCCCCAAAAATTACATTAATTGAATGTTTATTTTGTGTATATAATGAATGCAGTGTGTGTATATAATGCAGAGTGTATGTATGTATGAATGCAGTGTGTGTGTGTATGAATGCAGTGTGTGTATATAATGCATTGTGTGTGTGTGTGTATGCATGCAGTGTGTGTATATAATGCAATCTGTGTGTGTATGAATGCAGTGTGTGTGTGTGTATGAATGCAGTGTGAATGTGTGTATATAATGCAGTGTGTGTGTATGAATGCAGTGTGTATATGTGATGCAGAGTGTGTTTGTGTATGTGATGCAGAGTGTGTAGCGTTGGTAAGGGGTGGGCATTTTTTTTTTAATCATTATTATTTTAATATACAGTTTTCTAAATATTAATAATATTTTATTTTATTTTAATATAATTACATTTTTTATTTTATTATATTATTTAAATTTTTATTTTATTTTTTTGTCCCCCCTCCCTGCTTGTTAGGTGGTCAGGGAGGGGGCTCTCATTCCCTGGAGGTCCAGTGGTGTGTACTATGCAGGAGGGGGGCTGGCAGAGATCTGTAACTTACCTTTCCTGCAGCTCCTGTCAGCTCCCTCCTCCTGCGTTCCAGTCAGCTCCCCTGTCAGCTCCCACTGTAAGTCTTGCGGTGTGACTGCCACGCGAAGCGTTGCCATGGTAACCCGTGGCAATGCTCTGACCCAGTGGCTCTCGCGAGACTTACAGTGGGAGCTGACAGGGGAGCTGAACGGCACGGAGGAGAAGGGAGCTGACAGGAGCTGCAGGAAAGGTAAGTAACAGCTCGCTGCCAGCCCTCAACAGGACTGCCGGGCTTGTAATGAGCCCGGCGGTCCTGGTCTGTACTATGGCAGTAAGTTGCCATAATACAGACATTGACTCGAGTATAAGACGAGTGGGGGGTTTTCAGCACAAAAAATGTGCTGAAAAACTCGTCTTATACTCGAGTATGGGCATTATAATCTCCGCATAGAGATGCCATTTAAAACTTGCATGGTTGTACGTTCTTGTAGTAATAGATTGTCTTAATACATAAAAGGAGTGCAGAAATAATATAGTGCAGTATTTTAATCTTAATATTTCAGTAGTAAGAAGGTATATAAATATACACTCCCATGTTCAGTAACCTGAATAATGGCTTTTAAGTTATAGCATGGAGTGGTATGATCCCCACTTTGGGATTTGTAAGTGATGGAGATCCTCTCCATTTATATATAGGAAAGAGAATAAAACAAAATAATGCACACAATAAAATTATGAATGTAAATCAAAATAAAAACGTACTTACATGGAATGGAGCAAAACTTCAGTAGTGGGAAAAGTAATGAAAACCATGTTAAAGGATAGGATTCTTGAACATCTAAAATCACATGGTTTTCAAGATCAGAGACAACATGGGTTTACTTCTGGGAGATCATGCCAAACTAATCTTATTCATTTTTTTACTAAAATAATCGGGTGGTGCAGTAGACATTGCTTACCTAGATTTCAGGAAGGCCTTTGACACTGTTGCACATAGAAGGCTTATCAATAAACTGCAATCTTTAAGTTTGGATTCCAATATTGTTGAATGGGTAAGGCAGTGGCTGAGTGACAGGCAACAAAGGGTTGTAGTCAATGGAGTATATTTGAAGCATGGTCTTGTCACCAGTGGGGTACCTCAAGGATCTGTACTTGGACCCATTCTCTTTAATATTTGTATTAGTGATACTGCACAAGGTCTTGATATGTTACAGGGTTGATGTTCCAAGAGGGATAAGCCATTCCAAGAGGCAAATGATTTAGGTAAACTAGAAAAATGGTCAGAGTTGTGGCAACTGACATTTAATGTGGATAAGTGCAAGATTGGAGGTAAAAACCCAAGGACAGAGTACAGAATATTTGATAGGGTCCTAACCTCAACATCTGAGGAAAGGGCTTTAAAGGTAACTATTTCTGATGACTTTAAGGTAGTCAGACAATGTAATAGAGCAGCAGGAAATGCTAGCAGGATGCTTGGTTGTATAGGGAGAGATATTAGCAGTAGAAAGAGGGAAGTGCTCATGCCATTGTACAGAACACTGGTGAGACCTCACTTGGAGTATTGTACTCAGAGCTGGAGATTGTATCTCCAGAAGGATATTGATACCTTAGAGAGAGTTCAGATAAGGGCTACTAAACTGGTTCATGGATTGCAGGATAAAACTTACAAGGAAAGGTTAAAGGAACTTAACATGTATAGCTTGGAGGAAAAACGAGACAGGGGGATATGATAGAAACATTTAACTACATAAAGGGAATTAACACAGTAAAGGAGAGACTATATTTAAAAGACGAGAAACTACCACAACAAGAGGACATAGTGTTAAATTAGAGGGGCTAAGGTTTAAAAATAATATCAGGAAGTATTACTTTACTGAGAGGGTAGTGGTGCATTGGAAAAGCCTTCCAGTTGAAGTGGTAGAGGTTAACACAGTAAAGGAGTTTAGGCATGTGTGGGATAGGCATAAGGCTATCCTAACTATAAGATAAGGCCAGGGATTAATTAAAGTATTTAGAAAATTGGGCAGACTAGATGGGCCTAATGATTCTTATCTGCCTTTAGATTCTATGTTTCTATATATAACTATATACAGGTATGAGTAAACATCACTATATTTAAGTAATGTGGTGGTTCACATGAATAACTGAAAGACTGAGTAGCAACTGGCAGTACTGATTGGCTGAATACCTCCCAACTCTGGCATCCCAACAAGCGAGACACTGGTGGGACAAAGTAAGGGTGGTGAGCCAGTGGTGCATTTGCATCACTGGCTTTGCCAAATAGATATAAACCTGCCAGAACAGGCGTAGTTCCACCTGAATTACAGTTATGCTTGCTGGGAATGTAGGCCAGATTACGTGCCAATCCTGTAAGGCCAGACCAATAAGGGATCACTGCAAGGATCACTGTATTTTTTATTTTCAGCTTATTGATTAAGGCTTCTTCTCTAGATAATTTTTTTTTTGTGTGTGAATTTTCTACTAGTTTACTAGATTAGCCTTTAGCTGGGAACTGATTTTTCATTTCTTCAATTTGAATTATACAATATTCTCATTCTAAACAATTTATCTTTATTCTCCTGAAACAGCTAAATTGTATTTTCCTTAGCCATTATTTTTTTGTTATTTGTAGTCACAGAAGAAAGAAAAAAGTCCAGGCACTCCAAGGCACAGGTACATTTATTGGAACTACAGTGTCCAGTGGCAATGTTTCAAACAAAAGGTATTTTTCCAGCTTCAGCCTATCTAAGCCTTGGAGTGACTGGACCTTTTCTTACTTCTGTGACTACAAACTACTTCTTGAGCCTTGGTGCTTGGTTGCACACAGGGACATATTAGCTGCGAGGCAAACAAGGCATTTGCCTTGGGCAGCACTTTCCAGAGGGTGGCAAAAAAATCCGCCCCCAAATGCCCAGGCAAATGTCTTGTTAGCCTGGCGGCTAACTAAAAATCTGGTCGGGTGTCGGGCTGTCGGTGTTTGGGCGGTCGGGCAGTTGGGCGATGTGTGTTAGTGAGCGTGTGTGTGTCTGTTAGTGTGTGAGTGTGTGTCTGTTAGTGTGTGTGTGTCTGTTAGTGAGTGTGTCTGTGTGTCTGTTAGTGAGTGTGTGTGTGTCAGGGAGTTTGTCTGTTAGGGAGTGTGTTACTATGTGTGTGTCTGTTAGTTTGTGTGTGTCTGTTAGTGAGAGTGTATGTGTGTCTGTTAGTGAATGTGTGTGTCTGCTAGTGACTGTATGTGTATGTTAGTGAGTGTGTATGTCTGTTAGCTAGTGTATGTGTATCTGTCAGTGAATGTGTGTGTGTTTATTTAGAAGGCGGTGCAGGGGGAAAGGGGGGGGTGGAGTGGGGGTGGTGCGGGGGGGGGGAGGGCGCCTGAGTTTTGTCATGTCTAGGGCAGCACAAAACCAGGATACACCACTGGTTGTGCACAATGTTTTTTTTCTATGTATGAGTGCAGTTCCTTACTTGGTTTCGGAAATATCTGATTTTTGGGGGGATGGTTGTTGGCAGGAATACAACTGTTGCAGTCCACAGATTTCCTAAAACTGTTGCACTTGTACTGTTCTAATAATTCCCAGATTTTACTATTAACATGACGTAAAGTCATGATTTTATTAAAGACACAGAGGCGAGTATTATGCATAACTCTTTCTTTATTTCCTCAGCAGCAAAGATAGAGGAATATAAATATATCAAAAATGAAAGAAAAAACTGTATAGGAACACAGGTAACCAATCACATAACAGAGGAAGTGACTATATAAGGCCTGTGTCTCCCACAATCCCCCTCTTTCTTGCGAAAACCGAAGACCAGGTAAGAAGAACGATATCCTACTTGGCCAAAACCGGAAACTGGAACAATTCGATAACTTCAAGCTAAAAAAGAGAGAGAAATATGGTAATAACCAAACTCCAAACTGTGGACTTACCAAAACAAAACTGTCGATTATTCATATGACAAAGATCGAAATCTGAAAAATATAATAGACATAATTAATCAATATACTCATACATAACACATGAAATTCACACAAGGGGCAGAT